AATCCAAATTATAAAAAAGAAAATTATTCAGATAAATCTAAAATATATGTGCGACTACATGAACCAGAAATCAGAAACCAAAAACTAAAATCGATGAGAGAGAGAGAGAGAGAGAGAGAGCAACCAGAAACCAAAAACAAACCCTAATCGGATTTGAGCAACCAAAAACCAAAAAAATCCTAAATCAACGTGTATATCTAATATATATATATATATATCTATATATAACAAAGCATAGGGTTTGGGGTTTCAAATCTTACTTTTTGGTGGAGATCAACAGAAAACAGGGATGATCGCCGGCGATCTTCGATGTGTGGAGCAGTTCTTCATCGTTCGGCAGTGAAAGGAGAGAAGAAGAGAAGAGCATCGTTTCAAAGGAGAAGTGTTAGGTCTGAACTCAGAAATATATACTGGCATTTTCATAATTTCTGAAATTTTTGGAGAGCATTTACGTCATTTTGTCCCTCCAGATCAACTACACGCTTAAGCTAAATTTATAAGCACCCTCGGAGCAACTTTCAGATTTAAACCGAAAATGGCTTAAATTAAGCTATAATCTATGCCTTAGAGCAACTCCAACCACACTCTTTATTTTTCACTACCTAAAATATAAAAAAAATACCCTCTTTATTTTACCTAATTAGTTTAGCTATTGTGAGTTCCAACCATACTCTTTATTATCATTAGTCATTCAAACTAACTTAACTAATTTTGAAAATAAACAATGCTATATATATTACTGTATTTTTCATAAAATGCCACATACGCACCAAATGCTAATATGGTTGTCAATGTGACATTTGCGATAATATTTTTAAAAATAATATTTTTTAATAATAGTTTTAAAAATATTATAAAAATTAATTTTTAACTAATATTTAAGTTGTTTTATAAAATGTATAGTATGTCAATATATACCAACATATGAATTTTGTGAAACCATTTGGAAGGGGAAGGGAGGGGAAAAATAAAAGAAAACAATAAAGAATTTTAAAACAAATAACAATACAACGGAAATTGTAATTTATTAAATTAAGAACCGAAAGAACACAAATTAACTAATCATGGAAATTACAAAGGTCAATGAATAAAATAAGAAAGAAAGAAAGAAAAAAAAACATAAATAACAAAGTTAGGAATAAATTTCAAAATAAATAAACTATTTCTAATTCAAGTTATTACAAATCTCCATGTTGATGCCACAAATGCTCAACTAGGTCTGCTTGGAGTTTAGAATAAGTTTGTCTATCTCTGATGCAATGATGATTTTGAATGAATTCATAAAGTTCGGGTGTGCGCTCGTGTGACACCGCTGGAGGGAGACTTTCATCGATTGCCAAATTGTTTGGGATCTTCAATGTAGATCAGTTGAACGTTATCATCACAAGAAAACTAAACCCCCAATATATAATCATATAATACACATAGAAATATTAATTTATTAGCAAAGCCTGCAACAACAAATGCAAACTTCCAAATAGAACCAAATCTAATCTTGGTAATAACAAAAATTGGTTTAACAGAAATTGGCATGGGGGACCTTAGGCCTATCAGAAACAAAATTCACTTGTTTGACAGCCTCATCATCATCATCATCATCATCCATCCCTTTTCAACTGTGTTCACAGACATGATCTATGGTATTCCTAAAGGGAGTATCTTCTCCATCCGTATTCAATATAACCTTTTGTCAAGTTGAACCTCCCATTACAATTCCCATCATGGGTCATATATATTATTCAAGGTGGGTCCATGAGAACATGTAACTCCGCCGAGGTTGTAACAGAAGTGCCAGAGAATCAATTTGGGTTTATGCCCGGCAGGTCAACAATGGAAGCGATTTATCTTTTGAGAAGAGTAATAGAAAAGTACGGAGAAAAGAAAAGAGACATTCATATGGTGTTTATCGACCTTGAGAAAGCATATGACAGAGTGCCCCGAGATATAATTTTGTGGGTGTTAGAAAAGAAAGGGGTGACAAAAGGTGACATTAATGTGATTAGGGACATGTATGAAAAGGTGATGACCACTATTAGATCGCCTGCTGGAGAGACAAATAAATTTCCTATTACTGTTGGGTTACACCAAGGATCTACCTTAAGCCCTTATGTTTTTGCTTTAGTTATAGATGAGTTGACGAGAAATATTCAGGATGACGTGCCATAGTGTATGCTTTTTGCAGACGATATCGTGCTAGTAGATGACACTAGAGAAGGAGTTAACACAAAGTTGGAGATTTAGAAAAAAAACTCTTGAATCGACAAAGATTCCAGATAAGCAGAACTAAGACAGAGTACATGGAGTGTAAATTTAGTAACAGTAATAATGAAAGCAGAGGAGAAGTGAAGATTGAGAACCAAGAACTTCTTAAGGGTGAACATTTTCGTTATTTAGGGTCGATTATTACAACAGCGGGGGAGATTGATGCAGATGTGGCCCATAGGATTAAGGCGGGATGGTGTAAGTGGAGAAGTGCGTCTGGCGTACTGTGCAATAAACGAATACCCACTAGACTAAAAGGTAAGTTCTATAGAATGGCTATTAGACCCGCGATGTTGTATGGAATAGAGTGTTGGGCAACCAAGAAACAACATGTAGATAAGATGAGTGTGGCTGAGATGAGGATGCTAAGGTGGATGTGTGTCAAGACTAGACAAGACAGAATTAGGAATGAGTGTATTTGAGAATGATAGGAGTAGCACCGATAGAAGATAAGTTGAGAGATAATCGATTGAGATGGTTTGGTCACATTCAACGGAGACCAACAAACGCAGTAGTGAAGAGATGCGATGTTGTAATGGTAAAGGGGAGTGTTAGAGGATGGGGGCAGGCCTAGATTAACGTTAGCTAACGTTGTGAATAGAGATATGGATCTACTTAATTTGATTAGCGAAATGGCCTTTGATAGGGCCGCGTGAAAAAGAAGGATTCATGTAGCCGACCCCATTTGATGGGACTTAAGGCTTAGTTTGGTTTGGTATGGGTCCATGACAACATGTGGAGTTTTTAAAGAACTATCCATGTTTCTCCCCCATTTTCATTCTCATTCCCATTCCCAAACTCTTTTTTCACTTTATATTTATAATTTGTATGAATGCCGACAAAAACACATGTCCTTCCATGTTTCTCCCCTGTTCATTTCATTCCCAAACTATTTCACTTTCAAAAAATTCCCATAAAATGGATTGGAGAAAGAAGGAACAAACGAATGAACATATGTTTAGAACTGAGTTTCTATGCTTGCATTTAACACCTACTTAGTAGAGTAGTGGTTATTAAAGTCGAGGCACATCTCCCACATAACAAAAATAGGAGGCCTTTTTGACATTTTTCATTGAACTATAGTCACACAATGAGTTCTCAGTTTCAAAGATTCCTTGTCAATCAGAGACTATTACCTAAAAGAAAGAGCAACTCTGAGACTTAATTGGCTATATCCCCCACAGGAGCACCCCAACCAATACAGAATAATGAAGCACAAGCATCACTACAAATAAAGGAAAAACATGATAATAGGCTCATAGCACACCTTGTAAGAACAATGAGCAATATGAACAGCTGATTAAATTTCATATAATATTGTTCAAATACTATGCAGAGGGAGAGGGAGAGTTTATCCATCCAATTATCCTATTGCATTCTCTCATAATGAAGCAAGACAAGATGACTATGTTGAACTTAGAGAAACATTTTTTTTCAATGAAGTAAACATATCAACCGTTAATATCAATAATGTTGACAACTGTGTCTGGTTTCAGTTCCAAATTTCTAGGTTAACTTAAATGATACTCAAACAAAAACTTACATAAAGAAAAGATCATTTAAATAGCAAATCAAGCACTGTAATAAATTTTATAAGCCAAATTACAAGTTCCAATCATTCAGTGAATCTCAATAAAAGCTCTTCTCAGACCACTTAGAATTACAAACCAGCCGAGATCAAAAGATTCCCATTAAAAAAAATTTCAACCAAGTATTTACCAACAGTTGTTGGTGACAAAAGAATGCAAAAAAACTATATTTATGAAAACTAAAATTCAATATGAAGCTTTGGAAGTTATTAATAGAGATATACAAAAAAGTCTCAAACCTTGAGATGCATGAAGTGGCATGCATGCAATCCAATTGAAAAAGATAAAGAATCACACATCAAACAAAACGAATGCATTTCAAGGAAATCACTGACCAATGATTTGCAGGTTACATGGCCAACATTAGTTTATGAATTCAGGGCATAAACATTGAAAGTTTATGACATAAACTGCAAACTAAAAACTAATAATATTATCTCTGACCTATTTCATAAACTAAAAACATTGAAATCACTGACCAATGATTTGCAGGTCCTGATTCATAAACTAATTTTATCTCTATGTTCTGATTGCTGATCATTGAAAGTAAAATTCATAAACTAAACATCATCTATATTCAAGGAAACAAGGTAACACCACCTCAAAAATTTTCACAGAAATTTTACTCAACTCAATTAAAACACATAAACATAACCTGCAAATCAAAAAACTAGATAAAAGTAAAACAAACCCAATTTGATCTTTCCCAAAACCCATCAAATTGGCGTCTTATGATAATTGAATGTAGAAAAAAAAAAAAGATTTCAACCAATTAAAATCAACAATATTTTCATATACATGAACCTAAACAACTGTAGCAGCAGCATACAAGACTACCAATCTCAGATACATACATGTGAAAAACAAAGAAAATAACATGCAGATAATAGACGAACAAGAATGGATGGGGGTTCGAAGATGGGTTTGGGAAGGGGTTTTCGCAAAGATGGGTAAAAATGGGGTTCATAGAAGACGAACTAAAAATCAAAAGGGAAAAAAGGATTCACAGATAGGGGTTTGCAGATATGGGAGGGGAAGAGTTGGAGATATATATTTATATATATATATATATATATAGAGAGAGAGAGAGAGAGAGAGAGTTTATGAGTTGCATAGAAGGGGAAGACAAAGAGATAGAAGGATCCATACCTTAAGGAAGAGGTCAGATGGAGGGAGTTGCAGACGACGCTGGAGGAGAAGATCGATTTCGCGCTGAAGTAGAGGATCGATTTCGCGGGAGAGGCTTCACTGTAGAGTTTGGAGAGCCTTCAATCACTCTCCAATTGTAGCCAGCGGAGAAGGGATGAGGAAGAATAGGAACCCTTTAGCCAGTCTATTGGAGTAAGAATATTAGGGCAATGTTACCTAAAATACCTAACAAGATCAATATGCCTCTTCCCTTGGATTATGCCTCTTCCCTTGGATTTTAAGTTATAAGCTGAAAAAAATTTTTACCAAACAGGCACTTTATTGAATTTGTTAATTCTATTTAAGAATTATTTGGAATGATCTAAATAAGTGTGTTTTTTATTTTCTTACGAAAAGATGTACAGAAAAGTAGAGAAGTGATGTAATAGAAAAAAGATAAAAAGATCGATTATTTGAGGTATGCAAACTTGGCCATCCTATTATTAAAAGTGATTGAGACCCCTCCAATTATCACCCCTATCCCCCATATACACGTGGGGGCTAGTGAATGAAGGAAAAAAAAAAAAAAATTGACCAATCACATCTTAGAGGGGTCGTGCCCCTGTGGGGGTCCAAATCATTTTTTTTATTGTTATTTATCTATTTTGGCTAATTATTTTGTTAGTAACTTAACAAAGTGCAAATCTTTTTGTTATTGGGAAACTTCTAATAACCCTTATCAAAACTTTCTAAAATTTTTAAGAGAAAAAAATGAATTTGTCAAAAAAACCTTCAAAAATATTATAAAAATTATAGCCAAATACAATGTTTATCTTAGTATAATTCACAATTATACCTAGTTAACTATGAATTAAAATAACGTTGATTAAGTGTCAATCTTATTTATGATGAATGCCTAACCACCCAATCAATGACTTTAAGTCCCATTTTGAATGAGGCCTCAAAATTTTCTTTATCTATTAATAATTAGAAATATATTAATACTATAATGACACTTTTTTATTATATTTTACTAGCATATCACCCGTGCTATACATGAGATAAAATAATATATTATTTATTAAAAATACGATAACTATATTTATTTATTTTTTATATTTTGCCTCTCGTAAATAAAATTTTATATATAAATTTAAACGTTTTATTTCAAATATTCCTTTACTATAATATATAGTACAGATAGATTAAAATTATTATATTGATAATGATTAATTAAAATTATACTTGGTTATAAAAAAAATGACATAGTTCTAATACTTCACTATTTTAGAATAAAAATATATGAATTTTAAAAAATTATTATATTAGTTTTTGAAAAGAAAATAATTTTTAAAAAATTTAAAAACTTAATGAGTAAGAAAGAAATCATCGTAACATATAAAATCACTAAAATTACCGTGCAAATCATTCAAACCAAAATGGTTTAGCTTAATCAATTAGGTCAAAAGACTAACCAACTTACACAAAAAGTAATTGATTAACACTTTTAAGTTTTATTATATTAAAATTTAAACTGTCACTAAATATGGAAAGCAATCTATTAATTTAAATTTAAAATTGACACAATATAAATTTAAAATTATAATAATCTATCTCATAATTTATAAGTTTTAAATACAAATTTAAAATTATTATAATTCTCTCATAATTTTTGTATTAAGGAGCAGTGAGAGTGACATTGAGATTATTGATATATCTATATATTTTATAAAAGAATGCTTTTAAATAGAGATATTATGAGAGTTTCAAAATCTCATACAAAATTATTTTTAAAATCAAAACATCTATGTAGGATTGTAAAAATAAAAGTTAAATGAAAACTAACCAATGGGGATTTTCTTAATTATTTAAAATTAAAAAATCAAAAAATAGTTTGAGATATTGATTATATGGCTTCTCACTAAAGATCTCCTTTTGCTTAGATAAATGGGAGTATAAGATTCACTTTATGTAAGTGAAACAATTCACTTTTTCTTTCTTTTCTCGATATGAGATTATAAAATAAAAGTTAAATGAAAATTAGCCAATGGTATTTTTCTTAATTATTAAAAGTTAACAATTGTTTCGGTGAGAAGTTTATTTCGAATAAAGCAATCTTAGCCGTTTAATCTTTAATTAAGTCAATCTTTAATTTATTTCAAATTAAACAAATTTAACCAATATATTTTGATAAAACCGCTAAAATTGCAGTTAAACCAGTGAATCAGTCAAATCGAAAATGGTTCACCCTATCCGCTAGGTCAAATGACCAACTAATTTATACAAAAATTAATTAATTACAACTTTTAAATTTTATATTAATTTTAAAATTTAAATTGTCTTGAACTGAAACATACACAATACTACAATATTAAATGGGAGCATAAGGTTTATATAGTAAAACAACTCATTTTTTCTTCTTTTCTTGATGTGAAATTGTAAAATAAAAGTTAACAGTCGTTCGGGCTGGAAGTTCATTTCTAATTAAGTAATCTCAATCATTTAATTTTTAATATAGTCAAACTTAGTTTATTTCAAATCAAACAAATCTAAGCAATATATCTTGATAAAACAGCTAAAACCGTAGTTAAACCAGTGAATCAGTCAAATCGAAAACGATTCAGCCTAATCAGCTAAATCAAAAGATCAACCAATTTACAACAAAATTAATTAATTAACACTTTAAATTTTATTTTAAAATTTAAATCATCTTAAATTGAAGCATGTACAATACTATAATATTAAATGAGAGTATACAATTCACTTTATATAAGTGAAACAACTCACTTTTTCTTTATTTTTTCGATGTAGATTCTAATTATTTTACAGTTAAATATTATGAGAGTTTCAAAATCTCACAAAATTATTTTTAAAAACAAAACCTCTATTTTCAAAAAATTCAATAATTTTAGAATAAACGTTTGGAGCTTCTAGAAAGCTTTTCCCTCAAAACCCCCTTTATAAGATTTAGTTTATATAAGTGAAACAACTTACTTTTTTCTTTTTTTCTCGATATGGGATTGTAACACTTTATATAAGTAAAACAACTCACTTTTTTTTTTTCTCTTCTCAATGTAGGATTGTAATTATTTTAAATTTAAATATTATGAGAATTTCAAAATCTCATACAGAATTATTTTTAAAATCAAAACGTCTATGTAAGATTATAAAATAAAAGCTAAATGGAAGCTAGCCAATGGGGATTTTCTTAATTGATTAAAATTAATAAAATAAAAAAAAAATAAGTATGAGATATTAATCATAGGGCTTCTCACTAAAAATCTACTTTTGCTTATATAAATTAGTTTGTTTCAAATTTAATCAATATATTTTGATAAAAATCGCTAAAATCGTGGTTAAACCAACGAATCAATCAAATCAAAAATGATTTAGCCTAATCGGCTAGATCATAATTAATTAATTAAAACTTTTAAAATTTAAATTATATTGAATTGAAACATGCACAACACTACAACATTAAATGGGATAGGAGTATAAGATTCACTTATATGAGTAAAACAACTCAATTTTTTCTTTATTTTCCCGATGTGGGATTATCAAATAAAAGCTAACCAATGGAGATTTTCTTAATTGTTTAAAATTAAGAAAATTAATATGAGATATTGAAACTTGTTTCTCACTAAATGGGATGAGAGTATAAAATTTACTTTATATAAGTAAAACAACTCTTTTTTTTTCTTTTCCTGATATGGGATTATCAAATAAAAGTTAGTCAATGAAGATTTTCTTAATTGTTTAAAATTAAGAAAATCAAAAAAATTAAAATGAGGATTTGGAATTCCTAGAAGGCTCCTCATTAAAAAGTCCATTTTTTTTAATATACAGATAGATAGATTTATTATATCATGTGTGAATATTGTATAATTGGAATGAGCTCTTCTTCCTACTCATCTCACTTTGAATTATATTCCTTTCCATTTTCTATAATATTTTTAGACCCTTTTTTATTAAAAGTAATAACTTTTTTTAAAAACGTTAGAAGATCCAAAAAACAATGTTTAACCTATTATAATTCAAAATATAATTTTGCAACATTTGAAGTAATAGCATCAGGCTCTAATATTTTGAAATCATAAGAACAAAAACAATTTTAAAAATTGTATTATCCCTATCTATCTATTTATGTATATACTATTCAACGTATATGTTCACGTCATCTATCGATCCACGTGTTTTTTATTTGTCCACTTAATCTATCTATTTCTTCATACCACCAACCACCACATGTCACCTCTGTGCAACTTCTCTCAATGACTTTTTTTGGTAATCAGTGGCTTTTTCAATGGTTGACGTCTGGTGGTAGTGGAAAAAAATGAAAAAACCAATCAGTGCGTTTTGTTTTATTTTTCTGAATTCAGTTTTTTGAAAATTGAGTTTTTTGTTTTTCGTATTTTTTTTTGTTTTTAGTGAATATTTTTAAAATTTTAACTAATTCTTTTACTTTTTTAAATGCATTTTACTTAGATGTATCTAAATAGTAAAATATTTGTGAAAAAATATTTTAAAAAATTAATAAAAACACAAAAATATGAAAAAGTACTAAATTTTCAATTTTTTTTTTGTATTTTTTGGTATTTAGTGTATTTTTTTTAAAAAAAAAATCACAAATATTATACTTTTTAAGTGTGTTTATGTTAGGTGTGTCTAAAAATTAAAAAAAAATTTGCTTAAAATATTAAACAAATTCATTGAAAACATTAAAATACGAAAAATAAAAAAGTAAAATTTTTAAGAAATTATTTTCTGAAAACTAGAACCAAACAAGCTACATATTATCCTTCAAAATAATAACTTGTCATTTTCACGAAACAATTTCATTAATTGTGTCCATACAACCAAAGAAAAAAAATCATTGAACTTAATGCTATACAACCCACTAGAAATGGATTTCTCAGCAAATTTTTCTAAAAAATTTAGTAAAAAATTGTGGTAAATATAGTATTGTTGGAAAAAAAAAATCATTTTAAAAGACCCAACCAAAAAATAGTGCCCCAAAAAAATCTTATGCCAAGACTCAACCATAAAAAAAAAAAAAAAAAAAAATTATGACATAATTCTTAAACATAAAACATTTTACACTTTTATGATGTAAAATATTTTACTTTTTGGCCAACCAAACAACAACAAACAAACAAATAAAAAAAGAGGGGGTAGGAAAACAAATGTTGATAAAAGTGTCACTAGAATTTGCCATTTTCCTTATCAAAAACCGGCGGTTCGGTTGGCAAATAATGGCGGATTTG